CTTTTCTTTAAAGTGTCAGTTAAAAGGTCGCCTTTTGAACGCCACGTTTATATATTATTACATGTTATTTGGCACAGGGATGGGGTTTTCTTTGTTGTGTTTGGGTCTTGTGTGTTTATCTATAAAGCACTGGTGGTCGGGAGGGGGAGGGGATATCCATTTTCAATTCGTGTTTCCCTCTAGAATGTGGTCTCTTCATCTACCGACACCGAGTTAAAGATTCCTCGAATCCAAGTTAGAAGAGATGTTCTCATATTTCGTTTGCGATTTATGGGCACTTCATTGAGCATGTAATTATAGCCAAGGTAGGGGAAGGAGTGTGGACTAGACTCTCAGTTTGTTTCAGAACACCTGTAGCATCTATGATCTGTATATTTATGACATAATAGTTGTTTCCGACATTTTCCTCGCATGATTACCTTGAATTTTTTGTTTGTTTGATTATTCATCACATAACAATGAACAAATTATTTTTATTTCTTTCTAAATGATAGAATCTCTTTTCCTTCCTATCCTAATTCTTTTCTTTCGGCTGTTTTATATTTTCTACACGTTTAGTTACAACAGCGTGCAGTTGAAGCTATCAAGACAGAAATTCCAGGTGCATCAATCCAAGCCGATTTCACATCCTTCCCATCCGTAAAATTAAAACGTCTATTTAATGGTGAAAATAATGAAAATCTTCCGCTACGTTCTCGTTTAATATTCCCTGGTGGAAATGATTGTAAAATGAATCCAACAAAAGTTCGCATGACTAGAGAAGATCAACAGATTCTACATTCGCATTTACTTAAATAAATGCCTGTTGTTTTATCATTTGTTGTTGTTGTTTATTTTTTTGCGGGGGGTTAAAGTTTACTTACCAGTCAATCCTGAAGATATTTTTTACTTCCTACTTATCATTAATACTTTTATTTACAATGACTATTATACGCGCATACATACTTCTATACATAATATATTATGGTCAACCGTGGACCCAGCTGAAGACGACATCAGAAAACAGAATAAAGTGGAGATGTGTTTTTGAAGCCCTATGTTCCACTCGGAACGCAAGGGAATAATAATAATGTGATGATTGCTAGCATATCTATCTATCCCATTAGTGAGTGTAGTAGTCAAAGCGGGATTATTTGCGACAAACTACTAGGTTTAATGAAAATCATTATTACAGGCTACTTGCACAAATGTAATAACACAACGATTCTAATTCTATGTAAGGAACACACATCCGTCATATTGAAACGGTAGGAGAGGAAAGACTTGGTATCTCTATATGGCCGAATTATGTACACCTGATCTTCAACGCACCATTTGTACAGATCTTCCGTGTTGTACCACTTCGTGCAACGTGCATTTTTTGACAGCTCGAGAATTAAACATTAGTCTAGATCCTTCACCAATAAAGAAAAATAAGGGTTGTATGGATCTAAATTATAAGTAAAAAAGGCTTTTGCTCCTTCTGTCTACAAGCCTGTTCAGCTTTTTGTCAAGATGCTACACCAAGGACCCTACAGAAACTCCTGAGACATCCCACAGGTCAGCTTGTCCTACGAATTCTAATCTTCCGGATCTTAGAATTCAATTCCCATAGGAATATCACTTATCCGCCTCACAATAACCTTTTTATTTCCGCACCATTATACTCTACTTTATCTTAACTAACTAGGCCATTATTAAAGCTAAAAGTTTCTCTTTCTTCATATTTGTTGCTTGCTTAAAGTCTGGTTGCTTTGATTAAAAACACTACAACACCAATGTTTGAACAAAGCTATATTTCCATAGAAAACATCATAGTTTCCATGCTTAGACCAATATGGTTTGCATTAAACATTGCAAATGTGTACTATCATTCCAAGGAGTCTCCAGCTCCTTCTTGTATATATCTTGTGAATGTACTACCAATGGTGTATCATTCATAATTGCATTTTTATACCATTGGCAGTTTCCCACAACGTTCTCCTCTTCCTGAAATAGCTTTTAATCACGTGGCAGCATAGCGCTTACCCAAATATATGCTGTTCACTGGTTGACCATAACTATCTGTGGGGAACGGAATGAAGTTTGGGTTGTTGCTCAACTTTGATGGTGACCTTAGTAAACGGTTTACAATTTAACATTTATAAGAACCTGTTCTGATTGCTTGTACAATAATCGAACAATTTGAACTTTTGATAAAGTATCAGGGTTGTAATTTATAACATAACTGATGGTGCCTGTAAAAATGGCATGCATTTCTCGTAAACTTATCCGTTTATACGAAATATAGATTGTAATTGTTATCTCAACCCACCTTTTTTGTTTCGTTTGCATTTCTAAGGTTCTCATATATTATTATTATTGTATTATATTGTTTCCTTTAATTCCTAGAGGAACATAGGGCTTCAACCGTGCGTCTCCATTGCGTTCGGTTCTCTGCTAGAATCTTCACCTGGCTCCAAGTCTGCCCACACATTTTCATCTCATCTTCACATGACCTCCTCCAAGTCACCTTTGGACGACCATCTTGCCGCTTCTCTTTTGGGTTCCACTCGAGGGTTTGTCTAGTGATGTCACTTGATGGTTTCCCAGAGTATGGCCAATCCATCTCCATTTCCCCTCCCTATTTGTTTCACAATCTGTTCCTGGTTGGTTCGCTCCCAGAGATCCCTGTTGCTGATCTTCTCTGGCCGGCCATCTGATCTTGAGTATTGAGCGAAGACAACTGTTAATGAAGGTCTGTAGTTTGCTTGAGATGGTCTTTATGACGCATCAAGTCTCTGATCCGTAAAGTAGCACTGAATTCACATTGGAGTTGAAAATCCAGCTCTTATTTTTCATGTTTAGCGCTGCTGATCTCCACATAGACTTGAGAGTAACGAAAGCTTGTCTTGGTTTCCCGATCCTCGCTTTGATATCCTCGTCATTTCCGCTTGTATTTGAAACGAGGCTTCCCAGGTAGGTAGGTAGGTATTTAAAGGAGGTTGCTTCTTTCAGATTTCTCCCATTTATGCCGATTGTTGTCTGTTGTTGTTGCTGTTGGCCAGGAATCTTCATCACCATATGTTTTCTCTGTGTTCACCTGAACTCCTGTCTTCTCGGGATGCTTTTCTTCCAACTTGTTGCTTTTCACTTGCATATCTTCCAGTTTGTGGGAAATCAGACATATATCATCGGCGAAGTCCAGATCCTCCAAGTTCTTTGTGTGAGTCCATTTTATTCCTGTTACTTCATTGCCCGCTGTTTGTCGCATTATCCAGTCTGCTGCAATCAGGAAAATCATTAGCGATAGTAGGCAGCCAGCTTGTCTTTCTCCTGTTCTCACTTCGAAGGATTCTGTAAGTTTCCCGTTGTGGATTACTTGGCATGCAGCATTGTCGTACAGCTGTTGGATGAGATGTATAATTATCGGTGGCACCCCATAGTAGCGAATTAGTTGCCAAAGCACCTCTCGATCGACGCTGCACTATCGAAGGCCTTTTCAAAGTCGATGAAGTTGAGATAGAGAGGTGACTGCCATTCCAAGCTCTGTTCAGTGATGATCCGTAATGTGGCGATCTGATCAATACATGACTTGTTTCTCCTGAATCCAGCTTGTTCCGGTCGAAGTTATTCATCCAGGTTGGCATGTTTGATTCTCTCCAGGATGATGCGGCTTGGTATTTTGTTTGGGATAGACAGGAGCATAATTCCGCGCCAGTTCTTGCATTGACTTAAGTCTCCTTTCTTTGGTAGTTTGAATAGGTATCCTTTCTTCCAATCCTCGGGTACTTTGCCTTCTTTCCACACCTTCTCCAGTAGTGGCGTCATCAAGTCCGCTGTTGTCTCTGGGTCCATTTTCAATGCTTCTGCTGGGATTCCATCTGGTCCTGCTGCTTTTCCAGCTTTTAGCATCTTGATTGCCTTCAGGACTTCTGATTTCGTCGGGGGGTTGGTGTTCACTGGTAGCTCTGTCTCCGTTGTTGGTTTTGTTGAAGGTCGATTTAGGAGTCTTTTGAAGTGTTCAGCCCAGTGTTTCCTTTGCTCCACTTCTTTGGTGAGTGACTTTCCACTGTCATACTTCACTGGCTTAATTTGTGACGAATTTTTGCCTGAGAGGTACCTAGTTGTTTGGTAGAGTGTTGCGAGGTCTCCTTTGCCTGCTGCTTGTTCTGCTTCATTGGCCATGGCTTCATAATACTTTCTTTTGTCTTCTCTAGCACTCTTCTTTACTCCTTTGTTCAGTGTATTGTAGCTTGCATTCAAATCCTGTTTTTGTTGCTCGTCGGTGCACTGGATAATCTTTTGTTTCACCATCCCTCTCTCTTCTATCAGTCTCCAAGTGTCCGTAGTGAGCCACTGTTTGTGCTGTCTCTTCTTTCTGCCTAGAACTCTCATGCAGGTTTGACTCCACACTGTTTTCAAGTTGTTCCAGTGCTTTTTGACGTTGACCTCTTCGCTAGTGTTGATTTGTGTCTCGGCTTTGTCCTTTATACTTGCAGTGAAGATGTCCTTTGTGTCCTGGTCCTTCAGTTTTTGAGTGTTGAACTTGGCTTGTGGTCTATCTGCAGCTCCTGTTTCTCTGAAAGCTTTTAATTTGATTTGGATTGTCCCTTGTACGAGGTAGTGGTCTGAGCCAACGTCTGCTCCTCTTCTTACTTTCGTGCCCAGTAGGCTGCGCCTCCAATTCCTTGAGATTGAGATGAAGTCAATTTGGTTTTGGTTCGTCCATCTGGTGACACCCATGTAGCCTTGTGGATATACTTGTGTTTGTATACACTGCCACCAATCACTAGTTAATTGAAGGCGCAGAAGTCGGCGAAGAGTTCTCCGTTTTCATTCATTTCTCCGAGAGCTTCTCTGCCCATGATGAGTTCCCTTCCTGTGTTGTCTGATCCCAGTTTGGCGTTCATGTCTCCCATTAGTATTTTAATGTCGCCGACTGGAGTATTGTCCATTGTTGCCTGTAGTTGTCTGTAAAACTCTTCTTTCTTCTCGAGGTCTGCGTTGTTTGTGGGTGCATAGCATTGTATAATTGACACTTTCCTTCCTTTGGAGTTGAATCTGGCGGTCATTATCCTGGGCGAGATCGCCTCCCATTGCATCAGGGCCTTCGTTGCTGTTGGTGACATCATGATAACCACGCCCTCGGTGTGCATGTGGTTATCCTATGGGTGACCGGAGTAGATCACTGACTCACCCATTGACAATTTGGTGAGTCCAGTCCCGTTCCATCTGCTTTCACATATCCCCAGTACTTGAATTCCGTATCTTTTCATTTCGTTTGCGATCTAGGCAGCTTTCCCATCTCGTACATGGTGTGGACATTCCATGTCCACACACAGACTTTTTCTTTTGGCGCAAGGAGATTCGTCGTGCTGAAGTTTCTGAAGCAGCTTTGTTTACAGTGCTGGGTTGCTAGCCTCACGCCTGGGATGGGGAGAGAGAAAAGGCTTGTTCCGTCACCACAGAGCCCAGGCGACAACTGCTTGAGGCCGGTCACACGCGGCCTGTTTTTTCGTTGTTCTTTATTGTTTTGGTGTGTCTCAGTAGCATATTTATCACTTCTGCCCTGTGACACAGCAGCAGGAAGCGCGGTCGTTGTTAATCCGGGCCCCAACCGATCCGGCATGATATTTTGTGAGTTTGTTTGAGACATAGTATTGGATTGGGTAGCTGCTTTTTGTCTAACCGCTATCCAAACGACCTTTCTGGCATGGTAGGACCTACAGAAACATAAGATCCAGCCAGTGTAGCTCGTTGGGTCATTGCGACATGCAAACGCGACCATCACGTCAGGGTAGGAGCTATCGTAAAAATAGTGCTCTGCAATCGAATAA